GGCTGCTCTGTGCAGCCCAGAGGAACCAGAACTGAAAGATTCCAGGCACTAAGAACTCCTGGGATGCTTCAGGACAGGACTGCACACTGCCACTGAGGTACTTCATCATGGCCCCCCTGACTGCCCCTCCCAGAGTTACTCTTGTACCTCTATGGTTGTCACCTGGAGGATGAAATATGCTGGCCCTTGTCCAAGTCCAGGAGAGGAACAGAACAAATCTGCTTTCCATAAATAGATCTCCAAACTCATTAAGTAAGTATATAACTGGAAAGCCATTGAGTGCAATAATGGTAAGTGTAATTCCAGACTTTTAACTTCAATTTAGAAAGTGTGTTTCTGCAAAGTCAGACCCAGCCATAATGAGCTAACAGAGACCAAATGGTATCACAGTGTTTACAGTTTCACCAAAGGGCAGAACCTGCTGTCTGCAAGGAGCTGCTGCAGAGGACATCAGAGACCATTGAACCCCCTTGGCTCCTCAGGAAAAAAAGGGTAAAATAAAGTAGCACTTGCTGGGTTTTTATGGGGCAATGTACATGGCTGAGTACTGAGCCAAGAGCCAACCTCTTCCCTGTTAGGTCATTTTCCATTTTATTTTTCGTGTGTCCTGTGCATTAGTCCCCATTATAAGCCACTTTTCATCACATGCCTACTCTGGATAAAACCATTTCCTTGCATTGCTTTGGGTAAGCTGTGTTTTCTTCTGTACATCCCTCATTTAGCTTGCTTTTGAGCTCTCATGTGTCTGAGAGCAGGGCTAATGGAAAGAAAATACTCCAGGAGAACACAGGGAAAATAAAATCCATACAGCAGATAAAGTATGCTGCCAGTTGCAAGGAACAAATTGTGCAGTCAAGGGAATACAGCTTTCTAAGACACTACTTCCTGCTGCTAAACAATACAGGAATGGGATTTTATATCCCTTAGCAACCTAATGTTCTCAAAATCAACAGGAATTTTGGCACAGCTACCTCCTGTTAATGAACTGTTCGTGATGCTTTTAAAAAAACGATACAGCCTGTCACAGAAGGAAAAAAAGCCTCTGATAAAAGTCATCTCAAGGAAAGGGTGGAAGTGAACTGCAATTAACCTCTTTCCTTCTGCTGTCCATCACGTTGCTGGCACGTCGCTGCCCTATTGTGCTGCAGGGATTGCTCACGGACGCTCCTGCAGAGCATGCTCAGCTGTGTCCCATCCAGCTGATGGAGAGCTCTGTTCTCCTCATGTGCTGCCAGGGTTTTCTCCAGCTCTGTTTCCACTTTGAGCTGACAGTTCCTCATTGCCTCCTGGATGCTCTGCAGGTTCCACTGAGTTCTCGGGAGAGCGTCGTCCACCGTGAAAACGCCGTCGCGCGTTCTCCGCACTTGTGTGCACACAGCAGATGATTTCAGCTCCAGACCAATCTCGTGAACCACCTTCCGCAGGTACTGCTGAGTCTCATGCAAGCAATGGATTTCTAGGAGGACAGAGACATTCCTTCAGAAGCAAAGCTTGGACACAAGCTCTGACATTGTAAATCCAGACATCACTCGCAGTTACGCTGAAAGAACTGGTTTGGCAGAAGACACTAAGAGCATGGTATGATTTTCTGGAATACTGCAGGGTCTTCCACACCCTTTATAATATTTATATAAATTTATTATTATATATTTATATATAAATACTTTAGAAAACAAACCTATAAATATAGAAGAGTAATGTAGAAATTCAGGTATTTCAAAGGGGATAAAAAGGCACCTTTTTTAATAAGACAAATAATTTGTGAGGGAAAGGGGACTGACTACAGGAAAACAAATGACACTTTAAAAAAAAACCCAAAACCCAGAACTGAAATGTATTACACTGAAACATTGTGCTAAGAAGAATTTCCCCCATAAGTATTCATTATCCAAATTTTAAAGCCTTGGGTTTCGATCTGAACTGGAAAGGTAAAAGCTATGAGCTGGCTGGATTTACCAGAGAAGTTGTAAGTTGATAATAAATTCCCACTGACTCATTTAGCATTAAATAATGAGTAAGAAAATTAGGTTTACCAACTTATTTGCCATAATACATACTCAGAGTTCCCCAGTACATTCTGTGCCAGTCCTACCTAGCTGGAATTCTGGAAGTGCAAACTGGAGGCATCGGATTGCTGTGATTATTGGGGGGCTTTTTCCCATGGGGCGAATCAACCCTTTGACAGCCAGCTCATATGCCTCTTGTGTTTTCATATCAATGTTAGAATACCTAGGGAAAAAAGAGAGCAGCAGAGACATTTAGAAATTTCTTCAAATAGATTCAAATTATGTCCATCCCCAATAAAAAAGAGATGCAATTTTTATTCTTAAAACTATCCAGTGAGTTTCTGCATATATTTTTGTGGTGTATGTACTATCAGTAGTGTAGCACAGTTTGGGAGGGGGGTACTTGGTCATGTCTACAAGTTATTTTTATAATAACATATGTAGCAAATTGGTCCTAAACCAGCAGATTGGAGATTTTGCCATACAAGAAGAACATTTAACTGCAACCTCTCACCAGAGCACAGAGCACTCAGAGTAACTGCTCTCTGCCCCTTGTGAGCACTCCAACCTTTACAGACTTCGATTATGGGAAACAAAATCCTCTCATTAGTTTTGAAGACCAGCACGTGGCAGTGGGATCAGATCAGCTCATTGCTCTGGTGGATACGCACATCAGCAGGGCCTTTTGATTTGTCCCCTGAATGACAGCAAGAATCCTCTCCAGCTTCTCCCTTGTGATATGATCTGCAAACATTAAGGCAAAAACGAAGTCTCAATTATCCATCCAGAAACTGGAAAGTCTGAAAAGTGCCACTGAGGTATTGCTGTCCCTTGGGCAAGCAGTCACATCAAAAGGGGCTGATGAGAGCTGAGGGGTGGCCTTTGCAAAGTCACTTCCCCTGGCTCTCCATGGAGCAGCACAGAGCTGGACTGCAAAGGGAAGAGTTATTTTGCTTAACTGATTCCAATACACTGATGCTCCAGTTTTCTTATTGTATGTTTTCATTCAATTAAATCTCCTAACTGCTACCTCCAAGTGTGATTCACAGGAGATCTGGGTCCTGACCAACCCAGTAGGAACCACTGTGATCAGCATTCACACTGGCTTTGTATATATTGTGGTTAGATTTAGAACAGGGGAGCTACAACATCAACAAAGGCTAGAAGACATGCAAGATGTGGCTTTTGTCATTGTGTAATTCACCTGATTAAATGTTTTAATTTGTAGTTTGGTGGTCTCTTTAAAAAAAAAAAAACACAAAACAACAACACATCAAATCAGTTTCTTACCAAATGTTGTCTTCTCTATTAAATTTCCTGTGTCTGAGAAGTCATCAGTGGCTTTACCAAAAAGCCCACCAACAGTATAAACCTAGAAGAAGGACAAAGAGTGCAATTTATCCAAAAATGCTCCAAGCAATTAAGCAGCAGTACTGCACCATGTAGCTGCTAGAAGTGCAGGCTATGACAGTTCTATTCAAAAAGACAGCAACATCCTGTCCTCAAAAAGCCACAAGTGGATGCTCATGTGGATGGATGAAACTCTAGACCCTGAAAAGCTCTCAAAAGCATTGGTAGGTTTTAGACCTAAGTGCAGAATCAACATCCCAAGGCTGGTCTGGGGCACTGGGGCAGGATCAAGTTGTGATGGCACTCTGGGACCCATTCAGAGCCAGCACCTACCTTGGTCAGGTGGCAGTTGTACAGGTCACTGAGCAGCTTGTTCCCATGGCCAATGCCAAGCACTGAAACACAGAAAATGGGAACCTGTTATTCAGCCTCACAAAAAGTCACTGATGTGCATTTATACAGCACTGAACACTCACAGCATTCTTGCCCACTGGACAGGGCTGTATCTCCTCAGGAGTCACGTCTGAGCAGTGCAATTAGACCCCCAGATTATTGTCTGGCATGAAAACCAGAGTTCTTGGATTTCCCCAGAACTTTCCACCTGGGCACTCAGGGCAAATGCTCAGCAGTGCCAGCCACAGCAAAGCCAGCTGGGGTGGTGGAGCAGAGATGGGGATTGGTGTCCCCCAGCAGAACCCACTGCCCTGGGTCTCTCCATCCAGCTTGGCCAGCAGCTTGCTGGGCCGTTTCTTCTGTGTTTTAGCCCTTAACTCCCAGTGGGGCTGTGCGATCCAGGGGCTGCTGCAGTGCAATAGCATCCACTCTTCTTCCCTGCATGGAAACCCTCACAGACAGCAGGACACGGTGCTGCCCCGAGACGAGACCCACCAAAAACTCCCGAAGCCTTCACATCCAGCCGGTGACCTGCTCCGATCTTCAGCTTCCTGAACCGCGGGCCTCGGACTGCAACGGAGACAGTGATGGAGCGGGTCCGCAGCGCCTGCCCGGGGCTCCCAGCGGTCCCCGGTGTGCCCCGGGCCAGGCCCCGCTGTGTCCTTACCGAGGGGGTGGTCGGCCAGCACCGGCACGCTGGCAGCCACCAGCTCCACGGCCCCGCCGCCGCCCGGGGCCGGGCTCGGCAGGAAGCGGACTCGCTGCCGCGGGGCGCGTTCCGGAGCCGCGTTCAGCTCTGAAAGAGAACCGGGGCGAGAGCGGGGAGTCACGGCCGGCCGGCGAACCCCCGGAACGGGACGGGACCGGCCGGGCCCCACCGGCAGCCCCTGGGGATGGGATGGTCTAGGGGGTCCCGCCGCCCTGCGCCCCGCTCACCGCGCAGCAGCCGCGTCTCCAGCGCCTCCCGGACGCGGCCCCAGGCCACCCCCGCCGGTTTGTACACGGCGAACAGCCCGGCCAGCCCGGCCGCCGCCATGGCCGCCGCCCCGCCCCGCTCCGGGCGCTTCCGGGGCAGCGGCGGGGCCGAACCGGGGATGCGGCAGCAGCTGCTGCTGCGGGCGGCGCGGGCGGGGGTCCCGCTGCTGCGGGGCCGTCCCGCTCACCCAGGCAAGTGCAGCCCCCGCAGCGTCCGCGCCAGCCCCGCAGCCGGGCCCTCCCTTACCCGCTGCTCCCCGCAGGCAGAGCCCGGCCGAGCCACAGCGAGCCGCGGGGCCGGGATGGACGCGGCCAGGAGGAGGAGGAGGAGGACATGGAAGGGTGGCAGCAGCTGTACCCCGGGCACATCCCCACCAGCCCGCTGCAGAAGGCGCTGCTGGCCGCCGGCTCCGCGGTCATGGCGCTCTATGACCCCTACAGACACGGTAAGGCCGGCGAGGGCAGCGCCTGCCAGCCGCGTCCAGAAAATCCCGCTCCCTGCAGCCTGGAGGCTTCATAGGAGAGTCTGGGGCAAGCGCAGGGCTGAGAATTGAGCCGGTGCAGGAGGCTGTGAAAGAGAGCGAGTGAGGAAACCCAAACACGCCCCAGTCTGACCCCTTGTGATGCCCCCCAGACCAGTCTGTTTCTCCAGAGTCCCCCAGGCCTCATGACTGCTCCTCCATCCCATTCCCAGGAAGGGTCATGTGGGTGACACCAGGGCAGAGTGGCCCTGAAGCTGAAGATCTGTGGTTTATGAGATCCCCACTTTGCCACGGACTTCCTGCCTGCTCCTGGTCAATGGTTCATTGCCCTATTTCCTCACCTGCCAACCAAGGATAGCTGGGTGTTGCGAAAGCAGCTCTTGGGTCACTCTCTGGTCTCTCTTTCAGACATGGTGGCAGTCCTTGGGGAGACCACAGGCTGCCTGGCCCTGCCAAACCTGCGAGACAAGATGAAAAACCACCCTGAAGGTTACCGCATCCTCCAGTGCGTCCCTCCCATCCCTCCCTCCCTCGCTGCCTGGTTTGTGGTGGGGTGGCAGACACGAGGCCAAGCAGGTTCCTTGGCCCTGTGAAGGGACAGCTTGGAAGCAGCACAAGTGTTTTGTAGCTCTAACCCTCCGGGCTAACTTTATTTTTAATGTTCACAGGAGCCCTGTGACACATCTAAGGGCAGGCACCACTTGCCTGTCTGTTCTGCTTCGCTGCTGGAACTGGCAGCTGCCAACACCACGAGATGCAGCAGCAGGCACAAGGGAGAAATCCATGGATGTGGATGCTGAGCAGTGATGAGAACACACTACATCCATGGATTTCTTCCCTGTGCCTGCTGCTGCATTTTCTTGCATTGGAGACTCTGTCTCTGCTGGTCTCCTCCTCCTTAGACACCTCCATATTTTTTTCCTGGCTCAAGCTGAAATGAGGCCAGTTCTCTTGTTTTCTTTTTTAAGACTCCATCACTTCTGCTTTCTTATCTGCAAGGACTTGTTGAGTGCAGCAAGGCTGAGGACCAGGAGGGATTTCTCTTAGTAACCAAGCTCTTACTGCATACCTGCTTGCCTTCTCCCTACTCCCTGTCATGTGTCACATAGGAGCTTGAGAAAAGTTGCCTTTTGCCATATGCTTGTGCAGACCAGCCTCATCTTGGCTCGAGAAGTTGACTTGGTAAAACATCCAGAGCACTGGGATGGGGCTGAATCCCAGCAGAACTGCCCAGGGAGAGGGTTAGGAAGGGACATACCCACCTGCTCCTTGCCCTGTGGTATTGCAGGGATTTGCAGTGGTCTGAATTGGGCACACAGGTCTTTTTGTTTTTATCCCCCAATCTGCTGAGGTCCCTTTGACAACAAGTACACAAGGAAATATCTGCAGCCAGTGTGAAACTGGTGCCAGTGATGCTTATCTTCCTGGCACCTGCACTCTAGGAGCTGAGCAGCTCCTGGATCTTTTATCATGGGAAGAGTTTACCCTGTGAATGGAAATAAAAAGGCTTTTGTTTACTTCCAAGGCTGTGAGGCACCTGTTTGCCAACAACCTGTACAGGAGACCGTGGCTGCCATGTGGCTGGTGGTGAAAGCCTGAGCAGGATTGAAATTAAACCTGTGCTTAGAACAAATTCCTTCTCCTCTTTGAGGTTGCTCCTTTGAAGCTCTGGCTGCTGTGCAGGGGCATTAAATTTCTCTGCTCTTCAGGGCTGGCTGTTGCTGGGGTCTGTGCCTGGCTGGCAGCCCACACAGCAGCAGCTTTTCAGTGCAGGGGACACCAGTGTTTTTCCCACCAGAGTTGTTACAAGCAGACAAGATAAAGGCCCTTTTATTGCCAAGGCTTCAGGTAGATCCTTTAAGCAAATCATGTCCCAGCCTCTGCAACAGATGTGCAGACAGTTTGCCCCTGCAGTGAGCAGTTAGGATCTGCACAGGGAAAATAGCACCGATGGGTAGAAGCAGGGATGGGGGTTTCCAAGGACTCCTTTTCTGCAGGACCTGCTGCTGTGGATTTCACTGGGAGTCTCACTGAGCTGTGTTTTGCTTCCAGGGAACGGCCTCGCATCCGTCTGTCCACCCTGGACATGGCCAGGCTGCAGGGGCTGCCAGAGGGCTCGCTGGGCCGGGAGTATGTCCGGTTCCTGGAGGACAATGTGAGTGTGGGGTTTCATGGGGTGCAGATTTCTGTGGCTGATCCCTGTGCTGGGAGCACAGGTGAGATTGGAGCCACAGAGTTGAGCTGGGCCTCTTTGGACTTGCAGAAAGTTTCTCCAGACACGCGGATGCCGCCCAAGTTTGTCGATGATGAAGAGCTGGCGTACGTGATCCAGCGGTACCGGGAGGTGCACGACCTGATGCACACCCTCCTGGGCATGCCAACCAACATGCTGGGTGAGCAGCAATGGGCTTACAGTGCTGCACTGCCAAACCCACTGATTGTGCTCAGCTGCCTCCCAGAAATGGAGCAGGCTGGGCCAGCTGGACTCCCTGATCCTCAGCCCAGAGGGGAGGATTTTGCATCATCACTCTCCTACATCAGTGGCTCTGTGGTGACTGAGAGGCCATGAGATGTCACCTTTTCCCTGCTGGGAGATGCTCTGCCCAAGCCCTGGGCACAGGCAGGCACTGAATGGGTGGTTTCTGCCTGGCAGGGAGGGTGGCATAGAGGGAGGGATGTTTTGCAAGCTCTTTGTGAAGGCAGAAGGGAATTCCTAGTTGCTCCTTATCTGCATGTCTCTATGTCCTTTGCCCTCATTTTGTGTCTGACTCAATAGCAGGTCACAGGCGCAGCCTTGCTGGTACCTGTGGGGACCAGCATGACAGGGCTCTTCAGGCTTTGCCTGAGTCCAGGCAGTTTTGTAACAGGCCTGTGCTGGGAGAGCCACACGGAGCATCAGGCCTTGGCACTGCATTGCCGAGGTCTGCAGGGAGTTGGACTGCCTGGGATGTGTTCCCCAAGCTCCCAGGGTGTGTGGGGTGCCATCCCTCTGGGGTGAATGAGTGCTGTGGGACAAAGCCCATCCTGGCACAGGCTGAGGCCATGGCCAGGCTTAGGAAGCATTCCCATCCTCGGGAAGGGCAGATGTACAGCCTGTGCTGAGGAGCCACACAGCCCTGGCTGTCCTTGATCCAGGTGCTCTGTCTGCTCACAGCCTCCCTGCTCCCCCAGGTGAGGTGGTGGTGAAGTGGTTTGAAGCCATCCAGACGGGGCTGCCCATGTGTGTCCTGGGAGCAGCGTTCGGCCCTGCCCGGCTCAGCTCACGGTAGGTGCCCGGTCCCTGCCCTGGGTACTCCCAGCCTGTTGCTGCTTTCCTGTGTCCACTGGGGACAAAAAAGGGACACTGCTGGTTTGCAGTGGGGAGTCAGTCACAAATCCCTCCATGCTGTCCCCACATCCCAAGGAAGTGGTGACAGCTTTGCCTTGTCACTGAAGCAGAACCTGATGCTTAATATGCATTCAACACCAGCTCCCCTGTGCCAGGCAGGAGCAATTTCCAGGCCTTGGATGGGCATGTGTTGAGGGCCAGCAGGACCCTCACCACTCTGGGAGCTGTTTCCTGCCCCAGCACATCTGATTTAGTGGCCCAGCAGTTTCAGAACCTGAGTTCTGGCCTTGGGTTGGTGTTGACTGTAACCTTCCTGGCACACCATCCTCTTCTGTGCCTCAGTTTCCCCTGTGAGTTAAGCAGAGGGGATGCCAGAAAGTTAAAGGGATACATGGGACACATGGGCTTGGCATCAGCCTACAATGGAGAAGGAAATTAACAAAATGTGGATGTCAGAACTGCCACCACCTGTGTCGTTTGTTCCAGAAAGCTGCAGGTCCTGGCCACCGAGCTGGTTCCCTGGGCGATTCGGAGCGGGCTCAGTTCCAGCTGTGTCCTGAACGTCTACTACGAGCAGCGCTGGGAGCAGCCGGTGGAGTCCCTGCGGGCGGAGCTCGGCATCCTCCCTCCCCCGGCCGTGCGAGTGTGAGAGCTCCTGTGGGGATGGCCCAGGGGATCCCTGCTGGCAGCAGCAGCCCCAGGCACACCCCGAACCCTCCTGCCCTGCCCGGGGCACAGCGTGGCTGTAGCTCTTCCACCAGGGACCCGAGGGCTGTGTTTCCTCCTGCCAAGAGCTGGCTCCAGCCTGTTGGTAGGGGCCAACTGGCACCTCCCTGTGCTGTGACAAAAACTCAACCTGTTTGTGATTTGGGTTGTGGGATGTCAAGGTCAGATGTGCCTTTGCCAGCTGGTCTGGCTGCTCAGCTCTCCCAGCAGCAGCATTCCAGTACTGATGCTCCCAAGTGCTGGGATGGGGAGGGAGCACACTGCAGCAAATGGATGCCTTGGCCTTCTGCAGCCCCAGGGCTGTGCAGGTAAATCCTTCCTCCCACCCTTCCCATCCTGGGGAGATTGAGGCTTCAAATCTTGGGGCTGCCCTGGACTGGAGCTAAACCCATGATTTTCCAGAGGAGCACAGGGGCAGGTTTGGTGTGTGCAGTGGTGAAATCCCATTATGTACTGGTGCCTGACTGGTCTCCTGTTGGGTCACACTAGATGTGCCTCACTTCCTGCCTCAGAGACCAGGCAGTGTGTGATTGTGCCCACAGGGCAGGCACAGAAATACCTTTGGATATTTTCCCTCCTGGATTGGCTGTTTTGAGAGCTGATCCCAGTCTGCTGTGTCTTCCTGTAGTCCCTCCCATCAAAAATGATGAAATCCACATGATTGTGCTGGCTGTTCAGTAGGAATCATCCCTTCCTTGGGCAACAAAATGACACAGTTGGGATGATGGGATTGAATCCAGTGGGTGCAGAAACAGCGGCTGCTGGTGCTGTGTCTGGGAGCTGGTTGCTGTCTGGGTTAATTAAACTGTGCTCCAGACTGCCAGCAGCCAGGGAGCAGAGTTGCTGGATGTGATGGCAAAGAGCCACGAGGCCAGGGGCTCTTTGTTCATGTATGTTCGCTGTTGGAATTCCTTCTTGTTTAATAAATCCACACTGGGGCTTGTAGTGCATTACCCCTGTGCTTTTGCCCCATCTTCCCTCCTGAGCTGGAGATCTGATGTGAAACCTCATTCCTTTTTGGCTCCAGCAGGTTTTCTTCCTGCCCCCAGATTTCCTTTTTCTAACTTCTCCCTGCATCAGCCACCCCACGAGCCAGACTTTGGGTTTTTCTCCAAATCCTCCCTTGGCCCCCAGAGTTATTTCAAACAGATTCTAAAAGTCAGTATATAAATACATCCTTTAGCTGCCAGTAAAACACACAGTGTGGGGGTTATCCTAGTGCAGTGGTCGAGATGAAGAAACATTTGCCTGTAAAATGACCCAGAAATGTCAGAACCTTGGGGTGAATAAACCAAAGGGCAGCAAAGATTTGCTTCCAGGAACTGTCAAGGAGACGTGGGAAATGATGGCCGTGAGAGAGGTTTTTGCTGCATTTTGGGTTATTTAATGAGGCCTTGAAGTGTCCGGGCTGTCAGTGCTGGTGGTGCCGCCTCCGTGCAGCCACGTGTGGCTCAGTGGGCTGGTGCCAGCGCTACAGAAATGGCACATCATGTAATTTTAAACGGCATCTGCTCAGCCGGATCAAGTAACAGTGTCTGTGGCTCCTGTTCCTGCTGCCATCACTTGAGGAGCCTGCGGAAAGCAGGCGGCAGAGGGAGCTGAGGGTGGTTTGGGGAGAGCAGACACCAGCCACATGAAAATGCTTTTTTTGGAGAGGATGTATTCGCTGTGGACAAATGGCAGCTCCACCATGCCCGTACTGCGGGGCCTGGTAACAATTAACTCCTGAAATGCTGGGATGGATGCTGGGCACGCTCCGGTAGGGCCGCGTTTTTTGCGGTGCCCGGGCCGCCCTTGACCTCGCTCCCAAAACGGATCTGCCGCTCCGCGCTCTCCGGCAGACGGGCGGACCCTGCGCGGCGGCAGCGCCCGGGGGCGGCCGCGGAGCCCCGGGAGCGATTGCCGCGCCCCGGCGGCAAAATGCGACTCTGGTGGGACTCGAACCCACAACCTTTGAATGACTCCGGTCACATGCTAGAAGTCCAATGCGCTATCCATTGCGCCACAGAGCCCTCGCTCTGCCGCGCCGCCCTCACCGCCTCTTCCGCGCGCCCCGCGCGCCCCGCCCGCGCTACCGCTCCCCGCCGTTGCGCCCGTCACCGCGGGGCCGGGCCGGTGCACCGGGCGGGACTACAGCTCCCGGCGGCCCGCGCTCCCGCCCCTCCCCGCCCCTGCCGCAGAGCCGGGCGGGCCCCGCTCCCGGTGCAGGTGGCCGGGCCTCAGCGGACGCCCCGGAGTCCGGTAAGAGCGTGGCACCATCCTCCCCATCCCGCTCCGTCAGCCCTGGCGCCGCTGCGGCGGCCGCGCTCCCTCCCCGCGGGCGGCCCCGCGGGCTCCCCATCAGGCGCCGCGGCCCTGCGGACGGCACCAGGGTCCCTCCGCTCCGCCGGTCTCCCCCGGCATGAGGTACCGGGGCTCCTCGTGGGGCACCGTGGCAAGCGCCGGGCCCCCTCCGTCCCCTGGTCTCCCCGCGAGCGCGCCGCGGGCCCTGGCCCCGCCGAGAGCGGCTGTGCCCGGGCGCTTCCGGGGCCTGGCGGGGTTGGGTGGCGGGGCCTGGCTGCGTCCCGGTGCGGGGCCCTCCCGGCCTTTCTGCCTCGTGTGATGGGGGTGGGCAGCGCTGCTCGGCCTCCCTGCTGGCGTCCCCAGGAGGGTGACACGGGGGTCTCTGCCCAGGGCAGGTGGGGGACAGGTGCCTCCCAGGTGCCATTGGCGCTGGGGCTTCTCACAGCCCGGCCACCTGCCCCTTGTCCCCCCTGGCACCCGCTCCTCGGGCTCGGTGCTCCCCGGGTGGATCCCCGCGCTTTGCCTCGGTGCCTGCTGGCTGTGAGCTACAGGCATGGCTTCGTTTCCTCTGTGCTGATGCAGCTGGACAAGACCTGAATCTGTAACGCAGGGCTGGAGGTCTCTGGCAGCCACACACCGGGTATCTGTCGGGAATCTCTCCCGGGTATCTATCGTGAATCTCTCCCCGGTTATCTCCGTAGGAGGCATCGGGATGCCGGAGTGAGGTGGAGATAGGAGCAGAGGATAACAGGGGCTTGCCTGAGCCTGCCTTGCCTTCAAGCGGGAGATTAAGCCCTTTACTGCCCACACAGAGTGGGGCTCCCCCGCTGCTGCCTCTCCACATCTGGCTGGTGTGAGGCTGTAACCGAGGGCCCAGGTCCTGGCTGAGGCACAGTAGTTTGATAGTGATCTAAAAGCTGCCCTGTTTAAATGCAGAGAGAGGCTCCCAGGCAAAAGCACAGTGAGTCCTGTCCCTAAAAGGCAGAGGGACAGTGTTGTGGGACATCACATCTGGGAGATAGGTGTTTGGTGGGGAGCGTTCAGAGGTCACTCGCACAAGGGAGAATCTCAGGGTAAGGGCTATGGGTGGGAAAATGTCTCCAGGTGTCCCCCTGGGAGTGGCATCTTGTGCTCTGATGCATCCCAGCCTGCTGCTGGTGGCACAACTCAGAGGTGGGACAGCCAAGGAACAAGATGTGACCATGTGGCACTGCCTTGGCTCTCACCCTGCCGGTGTCTGGTATAAAATCCACAGAAGCTCCCTGGATCTGGAGGGACAGCACAGAGCAGAGGGAAAGCCACAAGTGTGGCTCTCAGCCCCACCAGTTGTAGAAGAGCCCATGAAGGACTTCCAGCTTCAGAGCAGGGAATCAATCTTCAAGAGGGAAATGATGCAAATGTTTCCTTCCTTTTTGGCCTGTGTCCATGCCAGGAAGGGCCAGTTTTATCTAGGAGCTATGAGGGTCACATCTCTGTCATTTTCCTCCTCCCAATACTATTGCCTGAAGACAAGACAGACTCAGACTGTCTCTGAGCTCTTCTGGGGCGTGTCTGGGATGGGGACAGAGATGCTATTTTGGAGGGACAAGTACCAGAGTCACTGTCCCCAGGGAATGGGACAGGGGCCTGGGCACTCCTGGCAGCAGTGACAGCCCTTGTTCTGCCCACTCCAGCCTGGCCTCATCCCTGACCTGCTCTGGCAGTGTCTCCAGCCTATTTAGGCCAGGAAACTGCCTGCTAACATGAGGGTTTGCAAACACAAGCAGAGCTCAAAGAACTGAGTTTCCTGTCCCTGATCTGTCTGAGCTGTGTTGTGGGGCACATGAAGCTGTGCTCTTCCAACAGCTGTGATGGCTGTCCTGGAGCCAGGCATGCAGGAGAGCTCATGCTCGGGGCCTCAGAGACTCTGGATTTTGAGGACTGAGAGATTCTGGGGTACAGTGGAGGCTTCCAGTCGTCTGTACACAGCCTCCTGCCATGACTTTGCTCACACATCCATGGAAGTGACTTTATCCTGCATCTCATGTTGCTGGGGCGTGGCCAGACCCCTGGCTGGTGTGCAGGATGTGGCTCCCCAGGTGGGAACGGCCGGGCTCTTGTGCTGATGGCTCAATTGGAGGCCATCTCCAGGGTCAGATAAAGTTACATCTCTGGGAGCTCTGGGCTGCTGGGTTACATCCTCACTGCCAGGAGGACTGATGACTCAGGGACCTCAGCCAGGAAACTGGGGGCTGCTCAGGCATCCCACGCCCATGGGATTGTTATCACCGGCTCCATGGTGCGTGGGTTGATGGCCGTGGTTTCTCTCTCCCTGCAGGCCACAATGCTGCGTTTGGCTGCCTTTGCAGCTGTGCTGCTGTTCCTCAGGGTCACTCTGGAACTGTCCTGGATCCAGGCCATCCCTGCTCTCTTCATCTTCTACCTGGCATCTGGTGGATGGGAATTCTTCCTCATATTCCTCAAGACATTACCAAGGGACTTCAGGTAGGTGCCCTGACTGGGAAGGTCCAGCCATCCACCCCTGGCCCTCTGCTCTGCCCTGGTGTATGTGTATGTGTGAGCACAGTCCCTGACTCCTTGCACAGCCTGGGTTTCTGCTGGCACCTGGCCTGGCTGGAAGGAGATCTCCCTATGCTGTGTCCGGGTGACTCCAAACTCTCGGGCAAACTTTTCCCAAGAAGGATAGATTTCAGCTGAGCTCAAAGTCTATTGACTGTCCTTGTACTTCACCCTGTCCCTAAAGCTGCTGGCGTAGCACCAGGTCCCTGTGCAGGGTTTGTCCTGAGTTGGTACCAGGCTGTGCCAGCTCCTGGCAAGGATATGAAGGGGAGGGAGTGGTGGTACCTCTTGGAGAGCACTTGAGGCTCAAAAATGTCCTTTGATTGGGGACATCCCTGTCTGTAGACTTCCAAACACATCTCTCCCTGGCCTCCATCAGTCCCTGGCCGAGAGCCTCTATGCAGATGCGTTCTGCCTATGCTCAGGGGAGCACGCAGAGCTGCTGCTGACCTCGAGTGAGGTCTGGTCTAAGTGCTGGGCTCATGCAGCTCCTCAGAAGGTCCTTCTGCTGTGCTGGCTTTGCTGGAGGAAGTGATTTTGCAGGGGTCACTGAGCAGCTGCCCTCTTGCTCCCCCTCTTTGGCAGCACGGGGCTGGTCCTGTTGCGGGTGAAGTGGCAGGTATGGAGGCACGTGAGGGAGAAGAACACCATCGCCAAGATCTTCCAGAGGACCGCAAGGAAATATCCAGAGAAGACAGCGCTGATCTTCCAAGGCACGGGCGAGAGCTGGACCTTCCGTCAGCTGGATGAATACTCCAACCAGGTGGCCAATTTCTTCTACAGCCAAGGCTTCCGCTCGGGGGACGTGGTGGCGCTTTTCATGGAGTCCCGCAATCAGTACGTGGGGCTGTGGCTGGGCCTGGCCAAGATCGGCGTGGAGACGGCCCTGGTGAATTCCCACCTGCGCCTGGACGCCCTGCTGCACTGCATCACCATCTCCAGCTCCAAAGCTGTGGTTTTTGGGGTGGAGATGATGGAAGGTGAGGCGCTGGCAGAGGTGTTGGGAGCGCTTTGGACTGGAGGGAGGTGTGTCTAGTCACTGGGTTCAGTGTTCCTTTCCTGCCCACCACAGAACAGAGATCTGGAAGAGAATGGGCAGTTGAATCATCCAGGAATTAGATTTGTGTTTGGTTTTTTTATTGTTAATTCCTTTGGACACTGGGCTGGATCTGGAGTGCAGTGCTGTCTGCCTCCCAAGCAGGTCAGCCTGGGCATGAGGATCCTTCCTTGTGTCTCTCCAGTCCATTCCCAGCATGGAGACCTGGGTTGGACTGGGCCTACTCCACTGAACAGGAGGAGCCTCCCCTTGCTCTCCATGGCTGTTGCTACATCCTTGCAGCACCTTGGCTCCAGTTCCTTGTGTGTTTCAGCCCACACCTCTGAGGTTGAAGGTGTCAACAGACCTCTTGGCACTAAAGAGGTTTTGGATGGGGGAAGGTGGAAAACAGGATCTTCTGGTCCCTGAAGAGGTCTGGGCTGTGGCCCCAGCATCTGTTAATCATGGGAACAACATCTGCCTGGGATGGCTGTGAGCCCTTTGGGGACTCTGCCAAGCACAGTGGGGGTACAGCTACATGGGGCAGGCTGTCCCTCAGGCTGTCTGGGAGGACAGGGGGTCTCTGTGCTGTAGCCACCCTGCTGCTTTTCTCCAGCTCCCCTCTTTACTTTCTCAGCAATTCAGGAAGTGCAGCCCTCCCTGGATAAATCCATCCATCTCTTCTGGTCTGGGGATGAAAATCCTAAATCCGTGCTCCCTGGTGCAAAACACCTGGACCCCCTCCTGCAGATGGCCCAGCGACACCAGCCAGCTCCCCCTGCTAAGGGCTTTCTTGGTATGTGCTCAGCTCTTGGGGCCAGACATGTGGTGGTGATTTTGAGGGTCAGCTGGTTACAACTCTGGCAAAAGACTGCTGGGGATGCTGATGGCAAGGGGTGTTTGGGATGGGTCTTACTCCAGTGTTGGAAACCCAGCCCTGTATGGAGCAGTATCCTGTCATACCCTCCATGTGTCCAACAAACCTGATTTGCCCAGGGTGATCCTAGGATATTCTTGGAGCTGTTACATGAGAGCTTTGGCTCAGCTGGCAAGAGTAGAGTGTTTAAATTTTGTTTGTCCCCCTCTCCTGGTTCAGCCTGGTTCCTGGTCACATTCCCAATTCCTAGATTGGGAATGTGACCCTGTCTCTTCATTGCTCCCCAGATAAACTCTTCTACATCTACACCTCTGGCACGACAGGGCTGCCCAAGGCTGCCATTGTGGTGAACTGCCGGTAAGGCTGTGGACAGGGGCTCGGGGAGGATGGGGCTGAGCTCTGCCCTTTCCTAGCACAGCAGCCCTGTCCCTGCTCCTGACATTCCTTCTCACCCTCCCCTCAGGTACTTCCGCATGTCCAGCTTGGTTTTTTACGGTTTTCGGATGAGGTCCGATGATGTGATCTACGACTGCCTCCCGCTCTACCATGCTGCAGGTAACATGTGCCAGCCATACAGAGCATCCTGGGACTGGCTCTTCCCTCAGCCTAGCCCAGGGCTCAGGCTGGAGGCTGGTGTGGCTGTGATCTCCATGCTCAGGAGGATGAGACTGCTGCTTGCAGTGTGTGACTGAGGCTTTTCTGCTTTTCCCCTGGAAGCCAAGAATTGATCTGGCTGACCTTTGGAGCAGGGAGTGTGTGGGGAGGGCATTATCCTACCCTGCTTTTGGAATACCTGTTCTTTATTGCTGCTCCTTGTGGAAAGTAAGGGGGGAAAGTCTAAGGGAAGGGGAAGCAGTGCCTGCCTGGCTGGCTGAGACATGCTGGGGTATTTAGGTGCAAAGTGCTGCCCTACATGATACTGCCATGTGTCTCCTCCCTTGTGCAATGGCCCTGGGGGCTTTGGCTGGGCAAACCCCCACTGCTGTGAGCCAGCCATGGCCTCTGCCTTGCCCTGCCAGTTCTTTCCCTGGGTGGGCTGGGCTGGAGGTGTTTGGGGACTGAGGGTTTTCCTGGCTGCTTCTCTGCAGGGAACATCGTGGGCATTGGGCAGTGCCTGCTGCAGGGCATGACAGTTGTCATCCGCAAGAAGTTCTCAGCCTCACACTTTTGGGAGGACTGCGTGAAATACAACTGCACGGTGAGGCTGTGAGGCAAGGGGCCAGCAGGGAGTGGGCAGTGAAGCCTGGGGGTCTGTGCCAGGGAGAGAGCTCTCTATGGGGAGAGCCCAGCTGCTGGAAGTGGGGGAGACCTGGACCGGTTCTGTCTGTCCAGACCACCTTTCAGGGTGGTGGGGCTGTGTCCTTCCCACCTGGGCTGGTAGCTTCACGTGTCCTCCTCACATTCCAGCATTAGCCAGGAGATAGTGGATGGGTTTCACAGCCTGGAGAGGTGGGTTAGCTGGATGAGTTAGCAGAACTTCATCCAGTTGGCTGGATGAGTTAGTAGAACTTCTCCCTCTTTAGCAAACTTTGGGTGTTTTGTGCCATTCCTTCCTGCCCTGAAGCAGCCTCAGAGAACCCAGGGCTTGGCAGAGGGATCCTAGTGAGTCTTTCCTCTCTGTTGCTCCCAGATCGTGCAGTACATCGGGGAGATCTGCCGCTACCTGCTGAACCAGCCGTACCAGGACACGGAGCGGCAGCACCGCGTGCGCATGGCCGTGGGCAATGGGCTGCGCGCCTCCATCTGGAGGGAGTTCATGGCCCGCTTTGGCATCCCCCAGGTGGCCGAGTTCTACGGGGCCACCGAGTGCAACTGCAGCCTGGGAAACTTTGATGGCAATGTAAGGGCCCACAATCCTCCCTCATGTCCCAAAGGGTGACAGCTGGCCTGGGCAGGGTTGGAAACCTGAATGGGATGTTTGCTCCATCCGCCCAGAAGGGTTTTGGCTGTTGTGTGGTGCCACCTCTGTGGTGTTCTGGTAGTGTGTGAGCAGTGGGTTCAGGTGGGACAAAGCTACTTACAGCTCTGAGCTCTTTCTGTTCTAGGTTGGGTCATGTGGCTTCAACAGCAGGATCCTACCAAATGTGCACCCCATTGGTTTGGTGAAGGTAGATGAAGACACTATGGAGCTGATCCGGGGGCCGGATGGTATCTGTATCAGCTGCAAACCAGGTGAGGACAACCTCAGGGATAAGTGTGGGTGTGAGTGTTTCACGATACCTCAGGATAATTTCCCTGGATTTGTCTCTGCTCAGTTAAACCACACCAACCCCATTAGACACCCTTTTTGCTTGGGGGGCTGGGGGTGGTGGTGTTCCCCCCTTCATCCCCTCTTCTCACTGCAGGGGAGCCGGGGCAGCTGGTGGGTCGCATTGTCAGGAGCAATCCCCTGCAGCACTTCGATGGCTACCTGAATCAGTCAGCCACCAACAAGAAAATTGCCAGGGATGTGTTTACAAAAGGGGACGCTGCCTATCTCACAGGTGAGACCAGCAGGACCCCTCTGTCTGCTGGGAGTGGAGGAGAAAGGCACCTGTGTGGGAATGGGGACTCTGAGATGCTCCAGGGTTGCTTCTAGCCAACACCTCATGTTTTTGCCTGTCCAATAGGGGATGTCCTGGTGATGGACAAATATGGTTACATGTACTTCCGAGACCGCACCGGGGACACCTTCCGATGGAAAGGGGAGAACGTCTCCACCACGGAGGTGGAGGGAACGCTGAGCCGCATCCTCAACCTGACGGACGTGGTGGTGTATGGTGTGGAGGTCCCAGGTAGCTGAGAGGGAAGTGGACAATCAGGAGAGGCAAGCAGGCCTCCAACACTTGAGTGTGAACATGTCCTGCATGTCCAGATTGATGAGGGTAGGCTGGGGCTCCCTGTGGGCAAGCTGGGAAGAGGCCACGAGGGGTGTGTCCTGCAGGAACCAGAGGGTTTCCTCCCTCTCTCCAGCTTTGGTGTGATTCTGGCTGGTTTGTAAGGACCCTGTGTCCTCTCTGGCCATGCCTGTGACTGCAGGGTGTCACTGGTAGCCCTGGCCACAGGGTGATGACACAGCTGTGACACAGCTGGACATGCCAGTGCTTCAGTACACAGCAGGGTCTTGCTGGTGCAGGGCAGAGGGGAGATGATGCTACAGGGACATTGTGTCTCAGTGCTCTTCATTCTCTGCCTCTTAGGGGTTGAAGGGAGGGCAGGAATGGCAGCCATCGCTGACCCAGAGAACTCCTGTGACCTAGAAGACTTTTCCAGCAAGCTGAAAAAGGCCCTGCCACTGTATGCACGTCCCGTCTTCCTGCGGTTCCTGCACGAAGTCTCCAAGACAAGTGAGCCATGGCATGCACAGTCACACTGGACATGGAGCTGGGGGAGCCTGGGAGGGGAAAACCTAGTTACACCCTCTGTAGGGTGGGGATGAAGCCTCTCTGCCCCACAGAGCCCGTGGCCAGTTCCTCAGGTGGTTTTGAGGCATGGGGACGCAAGGCTGGGTCTGGGGCTGCGCAGGTGTGGTGGGGATGGAAGCGTGTGTGGCTAGTGAGCCCTTACTCCTTCTTCTCTCCCCATTTCAGGCACTTACAAGTTCCAGAAGATGGAGCTGCGGAAGCAGGGCTTTGACCCCGCACTGGTGAAGGACAGGTTGTATTTTCTGGACTCCAGGCAAGGCTGTTACCTGCCACTGGACCAGGCAGCGTTCAGCAGAATCAAGTCTGGAGACCAGAAGCTGTAACTGGTGGGGCTCAAGCCAGGCACCTCCCAAATCCTGCTGGGGAGAGGGGGCAAGGCAGGCACTGGGGAAGGAAAGGTTCACAGAGTGATATAAAAGGCACGCTAGAGATTTTATTTGACAAGTTTTATAGATAAGGGTTTGGGAGGAACACAGAGGGGATTGAGGGGAGGGGGATGGTCACATACCAAAGCATTGACTCATTATGGCTTTATTTTCTGCTTGATACAGTGGTGGTGGTCCCATGCCATGGGAGGGGCAGGGCCCTGGCCAGTTGAGGAGGGGTGGGGTGCCCCTGCCATTCCACTTTGCTTTTCCTGTCTTTCCCTACCTTTTCCTGCCTGCAGCCACCCTTCCTTATGAAGGCCATGAAGGGACCAGTGCTGGTCTCTTCCCCACTTCTCTACCAAGCAGCCAGCTTCTCCTTGGCACAGGGACCCAGTTGGCAGAGGGAAGGTGGGTGCCAGGCGCAGCCCCTTCCCTCTGCTTGGCCTTGCTGGTGTTGTGTGTCTGCTGTGAATCAAGGGAGCAGGGTAGTATGGGGCTCAGGAGGGGGACAGAGGTGTGTTTCTGCCATGCCATCTCTCTCCTGGGGATGACATTTCTATTTTTCAGAATTACACGCACATTATATTATATTATATCTATATATATATGTGTGTGTGTGTATATACATATATATATATATAATACACGCTGACTTTTTTTTTTTTTCAAATCTTAATTTATTGTCCGTACTTTTGAATGTGTCTCGGGTTTGTGCAGTAGGTGGAGGGATAGCCCAGACCTGTCCTCTCTTGGAGAATCCTTTTCTCTCACAGGGAGGTGGGATGCTCATCTGGGACTGATTCTTCTCTTCCAGCATGGGTGCAACTGTAAATGTCCTTGTGGCCTTGCTCCATGGTGGAGGACATGAGCAAATCCCACTATCTTGTGGACACTTCTCTGGGTCTTTTACTTCCATCTTTTGTGGATGCAGCATTGTTTTGTGGACCTTCTTCCTTGCTGAAAGCAAGTGGGAGAGTAGGAAGAAGGGCTGAGTTTGCCTTTGCTTAGTTGTACTCAGGAGGTAACTTGTCAGGGGAGAGAACATCCCCTGGAGGGTGGCCTCTGTGAGAGCCTCTGTGCATCCCTTCCCAAAAGATGTGCTCTGCATCCCTTCCCAAAAGAGCCCTCCCTGTCTCCAGCACCAGAGCAGGGCCCTGAACTGAAATGTCTGTGTGAAACACCTGACTTGTGCTATGTGAATTCCCCATGTTGTGTCTGATATGAAACAGCCTCAGCTGCAATGTTCAATTCCAGTTCTCAGAAAACAAGCAGAAATTTCTCTTCCAGAGAAAACTCTGGGTTGGGTTGTTTTTGGGTTTTTTGGGTTTTGTTTTTTTTTTTGTTTTATTTTTGATTTGGTTTTTTTTTTAATAATTTGTTTTTATGCTTTTAGCAGGGTTACTCCTTAAAACGACATCTGTCTTTTGTGAGGGCAGGGTGTGTCTGCTCCTCTAGCTGTGCTTCCACACCAACGTACCTGCCTGCCTCAGTCCGTCCTGGTCTCACAATTAAACACAAGTATGGGTCTATGCTGCTGTTTCCTACCTCTTCCTTGTACAGTCCTGCTTTGTGAGGGAAGGTGGGGGACTTTGCTGGTTTGGGAATTGCCACTCCAGAGCATCACCTCCCTGTGTGCATTTTGGCTCATCTTAGAGCAGGGGGAACAAGCCCCTTGCTGCTGGGTTTAATGACTATGTGAACACAACATGTTTATCAGACCCTCCCCAGTTTCCTCCACTAACTCTCCACACAATGTTTTTCCTTGTTCTGTCCTCAGCATTGCCATCCCAGTTCTCCCTGTTTACCCTTGGACATGTGGCTCTTCCACCCCTCTCCTGTTCTCTATTTCCTCTTCCTGCTGCTTTGCTCTGTGCTTGCCCATGCTGAACTTCCCAGTTCATTTCTGCCCTTGCAGACAAGTTTTTTGGTAGCCATTCCACTTCCCTTGCTGCCAGAACCATCTTTTACACCTTCTGCATCCAACCCTGGTGATAGGAGAACCTGGCTCCTTCTTGGTGTGGGGCTGCCAGGGACAAATATCTTCCCTGAGCCTGAGTGAAATGTGTTGCCAGGTGAACCACACCATGTTGGAAATTTGCATCCTTTATATACCACCTTCACCTTTGGACATGTTCAAATGGGTGTCTTCTCCAGCATCTCTAAGCTGAAAGCTTTAGTTTTTCAGTCCCCTGGACACTCACAAACCTCTGTCCCAAAGCAGCCAGTGGAAAACAGACATCATCCCCACAGCCCTGCAGCATCCGGGGGGCTCAGCCCTCAAACAGCAGCTTTGCCACGAAATTTACCAAGGAAATTTTGCATTCAGGGATCATATTTAGGGGCCAGGGAGCTGGTGCAGGGAGTGCAGCACTCCGTTGGTTCTCTGCTCCCACCTGCGGGCTCTGTTCCGCTCTTAGCCACCAGAGGAGGGCAGGCTGGGCTCGGCAAACGCCTCCCCTCGGGGGGGACACGCTCCGGAGCTGTCACAGCCCTCGTGTGCTGCTCAGAGCCCTGCAACGCGGGATGTTGGGGTGGGAGGGTACCCACGCAGGGAGGGGGCCTGAGGTGAAGTTTTGGATACAGATGATGGTGCTGGGTGTGAGGCCAGTGGCAGTCCCAGGCACTGGTGTGCTCTGTGCTCGGGCTCCTGGCTGGAGACTGTGCCTGATGGAGACTTGGGCAGCAGCCAGGTCACCAAGCTGTGCCAGGTGACCTTGCTGGTCACCTTGCTGCTGCCCAGGGGTGGTGGGCAGTGACCTGAACCACCAGGTCTCATCCAGCCTTCTGCTAAAGGCAGTGAAGAAAAGCTTGGCCTCCCTGAAGTCAGACCTGGGGGTGGTCATCTGGAGATGGGTGGTTTGGAGTGCTAGAGGGAGATACAGGGGAATACAATCTGTACTCCCTCCCTGCAGGAGATTGCTGTGCTGAAGAAAGAGGGGTTGCAGGGCAAAACTCAGCACTGTGTTTCTGTCTGTCTGAGAGCAGGGTAGGTTAAAAAAGCCTACCAGGGAAATTATGCATTCAGAGCACTGCCTGTTAAATGCAGATGTGAATAGCTTTGGAAGCTTATGGAAATATGGCTGTTACTTGTTTGCTGGTGAGCCCATACAAATGGAAACTGGCTTGAGTTGTTGGGTTTTGGAGATGGATGTGAATTATAGGCCTATGAGAGGAGCAGGATGGAGCCCTTGCTGGTGCCAACACAAGTCAGGAGCTGGGCCTGGCTGGAGCATAGCCAGGAGCTCACCCCAAGCCCTGCATTTTGGGCTGGCTGTGAGGAAGGGGAGCTGCACAGTTCAGGCAAGAGGAGCAGGATGAGGCCCCCCCCGAGGTGAGAGCTCCTGCTCTGGGGAGATGGGAGGTGCTGAGTCACTGGGAAGGAGCTGAGCAGACATCACAGAGAGCTCTGGTACTCAGCCCATAAATAGCAGAGACCTGCAGGGCTGTGCCAGGGGGCTGGGGTGTGCACGTGCCACACACACCTCTGTGCCAGAGCATTCCCCAGGGAGAGGGGAGCCCCAGGGAGGTGTGTTCACAGCCCTAAGTTATGCTCAAAGCAGCCTCCCTGTGCAGCAAGGCTGGTGTGGGGGGGTTGGTCCCCTCTGGAGATCTGGTGCCTGGGGACCATTCACCATTGGCGCTGTTTGTCCTGACTGAGGAGGGTTGTGTGCTCTTGGCAGTGCTTCAGGATTCCCTGAAACACCAGCTACACCAATCAGAGGTTTTCCGCTGGCTGTCAGCTTTGGGTTGAAATCCTGGGGCCTTTCTAAAGTCCCAGCTCCTCTGGAAAAATGAAGTTTATGTGCAAGTGTCCCTGCAGCTCTTGGCCCAGAATACAAGTGCAGGTGTGGTGCTGAGCCTGGGATCAATGCTGACACACAGCACTTCCAGCAGAGAGGTATTTGGAATGAAGTAGCCAGTGTTTAATCATCTGATTTTTAAAAATATCTTTTTATTTGTGCAGTTTTAAGGAGGAGGCTAATTGAATCCTCTATGATTAGAGACACCTTGTGAGACATCCCTCCCCTTTGATCAATGCACTAGTCTGGCTCAACAGCTGCCTGTAGATAAAAGTCCTATACATAAAGTACGAGGTATTGTTCTGTTTTAATTAAAACACTTAAAATTCTGTTTGCATGAGGTTAAGAAAACATTAAAATCCTTTCCAGGGTTATTATCAAACTGCTAATTTAAGCAAAGCCAAAGAGCTTTACAAACGAAATGTACTCTTCCCCATGGAGATCACTGCTTCTCCCAGACCCTGTGTCCTGGACAGTGACAATATATCAAGACAAAAAATGTGGCAACTTTTTTTCTGGTCTGCTCTAGGTCCAACCGAGCCAGGCCATGCTTAGTGTGCAAACTGGAGTGTATTTTAGCCTTAATGCAGATGGGGGCTTTGCAAGTTGCTCAGAATCTTTCTGGGTGAAATTAATTTCTGCTGCTGAAAAAGTCAGTGACAATCTTTAACACTGCATCTCTCCAGCCTCCTCCTTGGTGTGCCAGAGCCTTGGTGTGCCAGAGCCTTCCCAAACAATGACAGCTGCCTGCTCCTCTGCACTACGGGGAGCTGGCTTTGCCTTTAAGCAGTGACAGGGAAATACTCTGGACCAAAGAAGAGACTATCCTTTGGTGCACTCTTTAGAAATGGAAATACTTGATTCCCCTGAGTGGTTCCAGTGTAACCAGGAGCAGAGCCAGGAGTGGCTTCTCCCTCTCCAGTTTGAAGGGACTGTGTGGCCAGGGATTCCACCAAAATGATGGTCTGTGAATGTCTCATCATGCTCTGTGAGAGGGAAGGGACAGCAGCTTTCCTTCCCAAAGCAGAGAGGCTTCACAGGGGAAGGACAATGTCCTTAGGGCTGTTTGCTGCTGAGCTCCTGGACAGCACAGGATGGCTGGACTGTGTGCAGCTGAGCGAGGCTCAGGGAGCAGGGATGGGTCCTGCTTTGCTTTTTTTGAGCCTGGCCCATTTCAGTGGCAAATCCCACGTTCTGAAGTAACCTTGTGTTTGATCTGCTTTTCTCCTGGCTCATTAAAAATCCACACATAGGCACAAAATCATGGCAGGCCAGGCTCTGGGAGAGCTTTGGGCAGTTGAGATCATGCAGTAGGGCTGGCAACCCCAGGAATTGCAGGCAGTGGCGATGCTGTCCAAGTCCAGGCCCTGTTCCTGCTCAGGATGTGGGTCACTGCCCAGATCTTCCCTTATCCCTGACAGATGATCCCAGGCTTGTGAAGTGGGATATAACCCCTGCCTTCCTCTAGTCCCATCCCCGAGGGTGCGGAGCAGCCTCCCAGGGCCCCCAGCATCCCGGGCAGGATTTGTGGCCTGATCCTGCCCTGGAGGTGACACCTCCCACGACCTGCCCGGGGCTGTGCCAAGGGCCCCGAGGAAGTGAGGGCAGCCAGAGCCTTCCTCCTGCCCCCGGCCATGCGAGTGGCTTGGCCGCAGGAAGAGGCTAACAGCGGCGGGCGAGCCACCCCCTCAGCTTTGAGTATCACTTTCAGCTATTCTGAAGGTTAAACGCCTGTTTAGAGCTCCCTATTGAAGGTAGAGCCGGGGGTGCGGCATTGTTGGGACGCCCTCCCGCTTTGTCTGGCCGCTTTGAGGGATGCCCTGAATGGGAAGCGGCCCCCCCAGCCCAGCACCCCGGCAGAAGGGCTCCCGAGGGAGGGCCGCTTCCTCCCGCCCTAATGACATTCAGCCCTCCATCGGTTCAGCTCCCGCTTTCTTTCTGCTGCAGTTTAACCCGGGCACAGAGGCCGGGCTCCATCTTACTGATCTCTGCTTGACACCCAATTACCACATGAATGGCAGAGAAAGGCTGCAAAAGGCTTTAACTCCCACTGACCCTCCTTCCCCTCTGCCTGCTTCCCTCTCTCCCCGTCCTACCCCCTCGCCTTTCTCCGGCGGAGGGAGTTCAAAACTGAGACGGGGAAATCAAACAAAGCCCCGAGTAAGGAAACCCATTGTCACCGCCTCCGCGATGGCTCCCCTTTCGCCGGCCATTGTTCCCCTTGAAGTTTGACTTGCTGTGTGGAAGGATGCGAGCAGCTGTTTGCGCATTCCCCTGATGTTTTATTGAAAAATAATTGAATCGTCAGTTCGGGGCTCTCTGATAAAATGTTTCCTCGTAACGCCAGGCCCTGCTACATTTATACACTACGTGTCCCTCTAGAATGTGATGGCGACCTAAGACGTTTCCCCCAGGATAAACCCTCAGTGGAGAAATGGAGGTGTGCTCCTTTTACACTCAAGGAGAGAGAGAAAGCGGGCAAATGGCAGGGAAAAGGACAGAAGCTGGGAATGAGACAAAAGAAATAAACCCCCTCTTCATTGCCAGGCTCAATTTCCAACCTGTTCCCTTTGCAGTAGGCTCTGTGAGAGGGGAGTGGGAGCAGCCCCCTGCCCCAGTAACCCGGGTTTTATGTGTTTTATGTACCTGTTTATCAAACACCGTCTGTATTTACAGCACTCCAACAACGGCAGCATTACCTTTTCTTGAGGAGATTGTGTGCTTAGTTT